ACCACTTAGAGATGTCTCGCCCCGTAAAATGTGTTGGGATGCTAGCCAATAGAAGTGCAAGTGTTACACTAGGCGCGTTCACACCGGAGTACTTTTCCCGTTTAGTTCTGTTAGTATCCCTTATTTTGCGTTCACACCAAAAAGAGAACTTGGTGCCGGGAACTTTTACCCCCATTTTAGAGCCTGCTAGAGAGGTGGGACTATCCTGGGGAGAAAAAAGTACCAATTTCTATTGGCTGGACAAATTGCAATCCAAGCCCCGTAAAACTCTGAAAAGTTTTTTGAAGCCGCCATTGTATTAGCATTAGCATTATTAGCATTAGCATTAGCCCCGCACGCCAACGTTCAGGCAATTTACTCGGAAGGCTTCAGTAGAAGCTGCTGGGAGTCCCAGCAGCTTCTACTGAAGCCAGTCCCCAACTCCGGGGACTTCGGGTGGCAGTATACGTTGTGAAGTGGTTTGCGGCCTGCCAGTAAAACAAAGCAGAAGAAGAAGAAGTGACGTCAGCGGCTTCATTTGCCTAATCCTCCCTCAGGGGACTTATTCCGGTGTGAATGCGATCTGTACTTAGTTCCATGGGGGAACTAAGTGCAGGGAATTAAGTACAGCAAAGTGCTTGGTGTGAAAGCGGCTATTATGTTGTCATTGTTGTCCAGAAGTAACCAAAGTCAAATGAAGGTGTTTCAGGCAGGGTGGGGATGAGAAGCTCAGTCTGGAGGGAACACAAGGATTGTAGCTTTTAAAGAAAAATGACATGCACTAAAACCTATAGAACACACTAAAGGAAAGGAGAAACCCCAGCAATTATAATGGGGCATCTTTAAAGCACACACTTGGAATAGAGAAATGTGCTCTAACCTACCTCTACCCTGTACTCAAAAGTTAAAAGGCCTTGAGCAGCACTTTGAAGATTTCCTCAAAATATCCTAACTTAAGGTTTACATTTGGGCCACACAGAGTGACCTTTGGAAGTCAAAGAACCAACACACACACACACACATACGCACACACACATGACCTACACACTTCCATCCCAACGTTTTGATTAGCTCTCTTACATAGTGACTTCATCAAGGTGAAAATACAGTGGCAGTAATTGTAACAGATCACCTGCCAAAGTGAGCAGTAGTTCAGCAGGTAGTGTAGATGAAAGGTCGGAACGATGTGTGTGTGTGTGTGTGTGGTTCCTCTTCATTCATCTCCATTTATCTTGTGTTTGCAAGTCACCGGCATGTCAAACTCACATCTAAGTCCAGTGAAGACGGATTAAGTTAGCATTTACTTCCACTCGGTCTCTCTGATGGATGTCCCGACAGATGGCTTTTGATTGATGTCTGATCACTGATCCCATATGGACTCATCCATTCCCAGCATGCATCTATGATAAGGTGCTCTCTACCCAGGGCTAACCTTCAGGACGACAAATGGAGTGTCTACACCCCCCATCTGTGAACATTAGTCGACAAGCATGCACAGACTATACGCCGATGACACACACTATAAGTCAAAGAAGGTGATGTTAGATCAAATAGAACCTCAGATAGCCAAGAGTTGTTTACTGTCTTCCTGCACATCGTAATGCAGTTGTGTTTCCCTTTTGTTACAATGGAAAAGCAATATGGCCGACAACCAAAATAATCATTTCTGGAAGTCTTTCAAAGGCCAGTTGAAGAGTCCAGACCTCGTTTACGTCTTGTATTTTTTAGAGTTCTAATATTCTGAATAATTTGCTGGAGGCAAACAGAGTACGATGCAATATAACTATACACAGTTTTTGTCAAAGTCAACAAATAAAGTCAGAGCAGACCCAGGGATCATACTGCCAAACAATAGCCGTGTTTACATCTTATAGTTTAAGCGCTTGTTTTCATCAGTTGAACTTGAGTGGGAACAACGCTCCTCCTTCCATTGTCTTTGAAGTATACTTTTCCATATGTATTTATAATAGTGTCGTGTAAACTAGGTTACATACACCATCTTCATGTTTAACATTAGATACAATCCTAAATAGACTGAGTACTTACTACTACATTTCTTTACATCATGGTAAATGCAAACATCCCACATCCACAACACGCAGAGGGGAAATGCACTGATACAGACTGAGATACGTAAGAACAACTCAACCTGGACTGTGTGTGTGTGTGTGTGTGTGTGTGTGTGTGTGTGTGTGTGTGTGTGTGTGTGTGTGTGTGTGTGTGTGTGTGTGTGTGTGTGTGTGTGTGTGTGTGTGTGTGTGTGTGACCATTAAAGAGGGTTTCATCCTGGGAGGCTATGGCTCAGTGGTGCATTGGTGTTCAAACAGGTTCAAACCCCACTTGACCCCAAATTGCTCCTGTGGGGATTGTCCACAGTATTGAGTATGTAAGTCGCTTTGGATAAAAGCGTCTAACAAGTAACATGTAATGTAATCCTCCAAATCTAATAAATGCATAAATTACTGTATCAACAATACTCTAGCGCAGGGGTGCCCAACCAGTCGACCAATCTCCTCGCGATCGACCGGATTCCCAGTCGATCGCGAGATGTGTCTAAAAATAGAACAACAACATTCTGTGTTATCATTAATGTCCTGTAACATAATGTTCCTGTGCCAGAATAATGCACTTGAACGCATCAAAGCTTTGTGATTGGCCGGCGTGACCCCATGTATCGGGGCGTGGCTGGTGGGTAGTGGGCACTATTTCGCTGACGTTGTTGTCCGACCGTGTCAACAGGAGTGACAGTCCGCACACACACAAGACCGCAATTATGGCAGAAGCAAAAAAGCCCAAAATATATAATTTTCACTCCGAATTCTGCCCTACGCTCCCAAAAGGGGAGGGGCCTGAAAGGACAGCTAAATGCACAGCAGTCCATTTCCACCAGGCCCAACAACAAGAGCAAGGCTGCTACCATAGCATCTTATCGTGTCAGTCACGTTCTTGCGAAACACATGAAGTCTTTCAAAGACGGCGAAGTTGTGAAAGAAGCTTTCCTGGAGGCTGCGACGCGCTTTTGGGGGACAGTAAAAATAACAGCAGCATTTCAACAGGTTTTTGATATAATAAAAACTCAAGTTAGATACCGTTATTAATCAGCTGTAAGTTTTAGTTTGTTTGAACTTATTCATTATAATTATTGTACAAAATGGTATAAGAATGCAAACATTTAAGATCTGTTCTGTTTAAATTGATTATAGTCTATTATCAATTCAGGTTAAGAAACTAGTGTTGCTTGCATCCTATTTTAAAGGCATTTATTTTTATAATCTACTAAAATGCAACAAAAAAGGGTTTGATTCTATTAATTGTGTCTTTTTTATTGCACTGTTGCAGCAGATTCCTGTGTAGCTTCAGATCTGAGTTGTCTTATTAGTAAGCCTCATTTATACTTTTGTAGCAACACTATTTTTATATAATGGCAAAGAAAGGGTTCAGTCTTTTCTTTGTTCCCTGTGTCATATGTGGCAGCACTGTTCAATGCTTCTTGAAAACATGACCCACTGTAGTGACGTGTGAATAAACTCCAACTCTGTATCAACAACACTGTTGTGTAACTTCAGTTAAATACTTGTATGTGTGTAGATTAGAAAGAGGTAAGATAAAGGATCTGAAATATTTTATGAAGTATTCATCGTACAAAGGTCAGTTTTATACAAGTAGAAGTGTGTATTTACCTGGTAGTAGGCTGTCAGTAATGGCTACGCCTCTCTATTTGGACTGGTAGATCTCGGCAGACTGGCAACTTTAAAAGTAGCTCTCGGTTCAAAAAAGGTTGGGCACCCCTGATCTAGCGGAAACCTCTAAGTCCAAAAAATGAAGCCAAAATGGAAGTGCCTTAAAGGGGACCTATGACGTCTTTTATACATGAATATGTGTCCCCGGTGTTCCAGGGAACTCACCAAGTGTCATAAAATACAACCCTCTCTCTTTTCCTCCATACCCAAATCTCTAAAAACGGGGCTGCAACAGATCTGATACAGACTGATACAGATTTGAAAATAGTCTGCCGTCAGTGACGAGGAGCTCCGCCTATATGGGCAACTCTCCACCAATCAGGGGAATGAGAGGTTGCCGTGGCATGGTAACAGCATGGTAACAGGAGGCTCATAACTCGCCCCCCTGCAAAGGAGGTCAGCTGCAGCGCATGCAAAGGAGGAGAGGAAAATAGAGCAAAATGATTTGTTTGGTATTTTGAAAAAAAAAACGTATAAATATACCTTATGGCCCTACAATATATTATTCAAATATAGCATGATAGGTCTCCTTTAAACCAGCAATGTTCTGTAACTCTAACAAATGATAACACTATGATTGACATTTTTCCCACCAGGGGGTTTCCAATTTACCCAAAAAACAAACATTGGATTCAGAATCAGGGGACAGCACTCTCAACCCTTACATCTGAATCCAGCTAATGACAAATATTGAACATTTAAGCCTCATAAGCCGCCGTACAGAAGCACAAGTGAAGCCTATTCATTCTTTTTGTGCCCTTGTGCTCCATGTCACACTGATCCTATTAAAATGATTCACGCTGGGGAGCAGCTCGTTGCTGCTGCAGTCTCACGCTGAGCAGTCTGATGGTGCTTGTTTAGGAAAGAAACACTTAGAATTATACATTTGCCCTCTTTTCCCAGAGCTTCCCAGCATGCCTTGCAGTCAAACCATTGATCTTTACGTCATAGGGTATTTTTCTAAATGTTAAGGTTTATTTTAAGGCTGCTTGCTCACATTACGAGCTGACTGTGAGAAGGAAGTCTTCACAGCGGAGTTATATTTTCATGTGATATATCTAATTGTGTCTTGTTGCTTTGTTGCTCCATGTAAAGCCTGCCCAGCTGCTTCGTATCCTACTTAGCCGTCTTTGATGTAGACAAATGCACCAATCAGGGGCGCTCTCTTCTAATTATCCTCCCCTCAGCGCTGTGTGTCAGGCAGCGACCTGCCCCTTCTTCCCGTGATGACACTGATGGTTGATTTAACTTGTTCTTTTTGTGCTTTTCTGTTTATTGCAGGCTTACACCGCTAACGACTGGCAGATGATCTGAGGACATCCAACTCAAGGTAATTATTCCCATTGTTCTGGGCTTCATAGAGAAACAGTCGGATGTATGAATATGACCACCTGCAGTACAAAGAGGCCCTCTTCAGGCTATAGTTTTTTGGACAAGAGGACATATTGTAACAAACAAACGTTCTTGATACTTGATATGTTTTCTAAGCAGGATGATTTCCACATGTTAACATCACTTTATGTTTTTTTAAGTAAAAGGCTAATGAACAGCATAGTCACATGACTTAACATCAGCACCGCTAAGCTAAAGGTGGCTAATGTTGGGCTATAAAGGAACTACAGCACGGTCACATGACTTAACATCACCACCGCTAAGCTAATGGTGGGCTATAGCACGGTCACATGACTTCACGTCACCACCGCTAAGCTAAAGGCGGCTAATGTTGGGCTATAAAGGAACTACAGCACGGTCACATGACTTAACATCACCACCGCTAAGCTAAAGGAGGCTAATGGTGGGCTATAAAGGAACTACAGCACGGTCACATGACTTCACGTCACCACCGCTAAGCTAAAGGTGGCTAATGTTGGGTTATAAAGGAACTACAGCACGGTCACATGACTTAACGTCACCACCGCTAACCTAAAGGCGGCTAATGTTGGGTTATAAAGGAACTACAGCACGGTCACATGACTTAACGTCACCACCGCTAAGCTAAAGGCGGCTAATGTTGGGCTATAAAGGAACTACAGCACGGTCACATGACTTCACGTCACCGCCGCTAAGGTAAAGGGTGGCTAATGTTGGGCTATAAGGAACTACAGCACGGTCACATGACTTCAACGTCAACCACCGCTAAGCTAAATGTGGCTAATGTTGGGCTATTAAGGAACTACAGCACGGTCACATGACTTCACGTCACCACCGCTAAGCTAAAGGTGGCTAATGTTGGGCTATTAAGGAACTACAGCACGGTCACATGACTTCACGTCACCACCGCTAAGCTAAAGGTGGCTAATGTTGGGTTATAAAGGAACTACAGCACGGTCACATGACTTAACGTCACCACCGCTAAGCTAAAGGCGGCTAATGTTGGGCTATAAAGGAACTACAGCACGGTCACATGACTTCACGTCACCGCCGCTAAGCTAAAGGTGGCTAATGTTGGGCTATAAAGGAACTACAGCACGGTCACATGACTTCACGTCACCACCGCTAAGCTAAATGTGGCTAATGTTGGGCTATAAAGGAACTACAGCACGGTCACATGACTTCACGTCACCACCGCTAAGCTAAAGGTGGCTAATGTTGGGCTATTAAGGAACTACAGCACGGTCACATGACTTCACGTCACCACCGCTAAGCTCAAAGAGGCTTGTAGACGTTTAGTCTTCTCATTTAAGCAACCACTGTTTTTTTAATTCACCAGTATGGTATTTACTTGGACGCATTTGATTTCGTAGGACAAAATGTGAAAATATCTTCAGCTTGTATTAACCTTGAACCTTATTTTATGCTTCAAACCAAAAAAACATCTAAACTTTGAGATAAGAGGACAGGAAGTGGTACAATCCTGACTGAATTTATTGTTTTAGGACTCATACCTGCAGCACTGTATTCTGGCCGGTAAAGTCATCATCCTGCACTCTTAGAGATCATCTGGTCAGCTTTCTCCGTGTGTCCTTGAGCAAAACACATGGGGGACTTGCTACTGTGAGGATTCGGATCCTGCTGGGTGTTTGGTGACATTAATGTGCTCATGAGAGTTAGCACTGAAGGCGATAACATGCTGCCTTTTTCACATTAAGATAACATTAAGATACCAGCGTTATATCTGCTGTGCAGTTACTGTAGCAGGCTTTAGTGTTGGATGTTTTGCAAATGTTTCTGCTCTATTTCTGGATATATGCTGTCGGGGGAGATGGACTTTTTATTCTTCTGCAGAATGAAAATCCCCCCCTGGACCATTGCCCAAATAACTGAGCAAGTTTTGGAAATGTCACAGAATCTGCATACTTCAATGACGCCACAGCCCATTTAATGCTACAAGAGGGCTAAATATCTGCTATTTTTAAAAACTGGAAGTTGCTAGTGTATTGTGTTTCGTTTTTTATTATATAAATACATCTTGAAGGACATTTGTGTTAGTCAGGTACAAAAGGAAAAGCTTTATTTCTAAGTCCACTTATAATCATGGAAATGTGTTAAATATGCCATTGCAATTCGGCTAATGCTTGTTGAGATATTCCACTCTGGTTAACGGTCCCATTGACACACATTTCTGCAGACATATCCAATAAAGAAAAACGAAATAAAAGGACAAGGGTCATATCGTCTTCAGGTGATTGACAGGTGATCTTTTGGGAGTTAATGCACTGTAGCCAAAATGAAAGAAGCCAGAATATCTCGGATTACCACTTTAAATGTCAAAAGCAGTAATGCAAATGAGGCATAATGACCCCCCCACCCTGTCAATAATAGATATGTAGCGTTTCAGAATAGGTATTTTTATGCATCAAGCGCTATCATTTTATTTTTCCCTTGAAGCACGGACAGCGTTTGTCACCTGGGCTGATGGGCCTTCTGTGTGTCATATTCCCCGGGGCCACAGACGTGAGTGTCACTCCCAGCAGGTGGCTGAGCACCATTGATCTGCAGCTATTGAGCCATGATAGCTCTAATTAGTGTCGGTTTGAAACACAATCCACACTGAAAAGGATGGAGAGAGACAGAAGCCTTTCAGACATCAATCAGCAGAAGTAATATAATACTGGTGAAGCTACAATATTTAAAAGGTGCTTAACGGGACTCAAGACAACAATAAAAACGGTAACATTAGCCGCTTTCACACCAAGTACTTTGCCGTACTTAGTGCCCAGCACTTTTATATTGCATTGCATTGCACTTGGTACCCCCATGTAACTAAGTACAGATGGCGTTCACACCGGAATAAGTTTCCTGAGCGAAGATTACGCAAATGAAGCCACTGACGTCACTTCTTCTACTTCTGCTTTGGGTTTACTGGCAGGCCGCAAACAACTTCATGGCGTATACTTCCACCGGAAGTCCCCGGAGTTGGGACTGGCTTCAGTAGAAGCCGCTGGGACTCCCAGCAGCTTCTACTGAAGCCTTCCGAGTAAATCGCCGACACCTCCTCCTCATCTCCACCGCTCCCATGTTTTATTTTGTGTTGCCATAAGTTATTCTCTCTCCGTTGGTGCGCTGGGCTAATGCTAATGCTAATAATGCTAATGCCAGGAAATACAATGGCGGCTTCACAACACTTTTCAGAGTTTTACGGGGCATGGTTTGCAATTCGCCCAGCCAATAGAAATTGGTACTTTTTTCTCCCCAGGAAAGTACCACCTCTCTAGCAGGCACTAACAATGGGGGTAAAAGTTCTCGGAACCAAGTTCTCTTTTTGGTGTGAACGCAAAATAAGGGGTACTAACGGAACTAAACGGGAAAAGTACTCCGGTGTGAACGCGCCTATTGGTAAAAGAGACACAGGATAACTGTAGAAAAACAAGACAACATTACCTTAATCTCTAATTTGGTGACGTCTGATGGTAGAGATTAGAAGAAGAACTTGAACCTGTGTCCTCATAGGGCCTTTTCTTCGGTATCCATGTGTTTTTGTTATCGTTTTGAATGGGTAGTAAGCGCATGCCCAACTGTGTTGTGATTGGTCAAACGCTTTGAGATGTCCCGCCCCTTAGCCAATCATGTAGAATGTTTTGGAGAGGTAGCCAATAGGAGCGTTAGTGTTACATATTTGTTCTGGAAGTAATCAAAGGAGTCCAATGGATGGGTGTGGTAGAGAAATGTTGGAATGTTAGACTTTGCAGACCATTTACATGCACTAAAACCTTAAGAGCAAACTACAGGAAAGGGAAAACACACAAAAAAAGTCATTGTGCCTCTTTGAGTTCCTAGAGAGAGGGTGGTTGGAGACAAACAAGAAAAACGCCTAAAGAAATGCAGAGCTCAAAACATTGCACTTTAAAGTCATTTCAACTGATAAAAGATGTCGTCCTGCAGCGGTGTAGACATCTTAGAGGACAGCTCTGTCTGTCATAAAAAGCCACCAAAGGACAAATAATAAAGGAAGTTCCAGACACATTTATATCAGACACAGGAAAGACCGACCTCGGGTCATTTCCTGTCTGAAAAGCTTAAAAGTTACACTGCAGACTTAAAATATCCGAAAAAGTTGACCTAGTTCAGAAATCTGTCCAAAGTGTGAGATTTGTATTAGTTAGATAGTGTGGTCAAAATAAAGGGTGTGGGGATATGTAGGGGGCTGAATACTAACCTCCATTATAATGAACGTCATATATATCAGAAATATGTCCCATTGGACTCCTGTACAAGATACATGTAAGATTTTAAGATTATTATTAAAAGGTTTAACTTTATTGATAAAACAGACGAAGATGGAAACTATATTTGTTCCCGTTCACAGAAAAATCCGCAGCATATATAATTTAAAATGTATTCCAAAGTCTGCTTATAGAGCATGCATAACATCTACTACACACCATGTACAGACATTTACATATTAATGCAAAGACATTAACATGTGGGCTACGCAACTCTGCCATAGTTACACATTTACACACACTCCTACTCTGGAGAGCGAGAGAGAGAGAGGGGGCGAGAGAGAGAGAGAGAGAGAGAGAGAGAGAGAGAGAGAGAGAGAGGGAGAGAGAGAGAGAAGAGAGAGAGAGAGGAGAGAGGGGGGCAAGAGAGAGAGAGAGAGAGAGAGAGAGAGAGAGAGAGAGAGAGAGAGAGAGAGAGAGAGAGAGAGAGAGAGAGATCTGCCTGTCGAGCTGCCGTCATGCTGCCAAGGCAACTTCCAAATTTGCCTCGTCTATTTTTAGCAACAAAAGATACCGAGAAACACACACACGTTTCTTGGCAGAGTAGTGATTTGATCAAAACAGCATGGTCAGCTGTATCTTTACACACACACACACACACAAACAACACACACACACACAACACACACACACACCACACACACCACACACACACACACACACACAC